TTGGCGGGGCCCCACCGGTACGCTTCTCTCTGTCCCGCCCTGACACTAATGGTTTTACCCAGTATACTACTCGCTTTCAGCCGGATCTCCTACAGACTCTTTTTCTCTTTGGTGAGAGTCCAGATAAGAATTCACCACACCCAGGAAGGCTGACAGGTCTAGAGCAGGAGAACTGCCACTTTCCCCAGGCTGGACTTCTCCAGTCAATCATGTATCCTAACACTAAAGTTATCTACTTTGGTATAACGAAGCCATCGTCTCGTTTGTTTGAGCGGTTGGCAGGTTTACCCAAGAATGCTTTTCTGTGGCTCTTCAGGTTTCCCTGAGGCTCACTTCACAGTCTCCTTAGAAGTCCCTTTCCTTCTCTGTTAAGATATACCTCCCAGGTTTTGCAGTTTTCAACAATTCTGCCAAAAATTACTTGCAGACCACCCTTGCTGGGACAAAATTCCGTTTATCCTCTTGGAAATGCGAAATGCGCGTTATCGAATAGTATACAGCCATTCAGCTCACACAAATAAACCTCTATGGCTCCCCTTTTTCCCTGGAGCAGGAGCAAACAGTGTGCGATGCCGCACGCGGGATGGAGTGACCGCAAGGGAACGCCGCGCGCGATGTAAGTCAGCACTCAACACTGCGTTACAAAAACAGTCGGTGGAAGTGTTCAGGCTGGCTTTCGCTTTTCTCGAATGCCAAGTACCAATCTTCATGATCCCATATCAGGTATGGGGAAACCTCTTTCAACTTTTGATAAAATTTACTAAAATACAACCATTGTAACGTTTTTGCAAAGAAAAACCCAACAGAAATGTGGAGTTCTCTCAAATAGTTCGCTTCATGATTGATTGTGGCACTATGCGATGCCATTCAGACGGCATGGGTTCCATTCCCCTTTGTTAGAACATCCATCAGCATCATCCAAAGTGCGGAACGGTGCTAGAAAGCAACGATGCCTATCGCTGCCAGATCCCATGTGGGAATTCAATTCTTTTTGTTTTTAATAACGAATCGAAATCTATGATTGCATAGCTTATCTTCTCCGAACCTTCTGGAAAACACCTTTTCAAACAAGTTGTGGCGCGAAATCATGCCTGCTAATCAATAGGCGCGCCACTCGTGAGTATAACCGGCCGTGGTCTTCTAGCGAATCCAGTTTCGAGGATGGCAGACTTGAACCTAGTTGCTTTTGCCCTCCAAAGTTTTTGAATCTTTGATCTGCATTTTCCACATCTCACTTACATAAGCGTTTTTTCCTTCAGGCAGATATAAATTCGATTTTGACAGTGACTTTGATGAGGGAACCTCGTCTAGTGACTATGCCTTCAACGAAGTAAGTTGTTTTCCGTTTCTGCTGTATAAAAGCATTCTTGCTTTTTTGTTCCAATCAGTGGAAGGGTTTATTGCGGGTTTTTATAGGAAGAGGCGTACGAAGAATGGAATTACTTCGCCCAACGTGAAGGTGAGCTCTTGAAGTGAATGATTTCGAGCCCGACTTGGGGTCCTACTTTGGTTAAAGATTACATAATTCAGAACTAATATAGTCCTCAGCGAAGATCATGGTGTTCTGAAACCCCAACTAATTCCGTTGAGACGGCTCTTGCAATAATGACCGAGTGAGGCCTCATTTGGGATAACCTACCTGGGAGAAGGAATTTGGCTCATAAGGTGCACGTTGAAATAGAAAAAGGGTATCAACGCATCGTTCACTTTATAGGAATCTCCAGTAGCTAAAATGATGATAAGCCTCTAGAGATCATGCAGTTTCCTTTATGGGGCAAGTTTTAGCTTGGTATGGTTTCTATCCCTCTTTTCTCTAAGTGCCCTCTGTAGGGTGATAAGAAAGCGATCCAAAAAGGGAGCTAGGAGTCTCTCCCTGCATGATTTGCCACATTTCCTTCATTCACAGGACGCATCGCAAAACCCCGTTTTTCCTTCATAATACCAAATTCTTCTAGTTTTCGAACTTAGCATTATCCCAAAAGTCCCTTTAGATTCCAAGAGCATCTGGCTTTCCCTTTCGAATTCGGCGTTACTTTGAGAATTAATTTACATTTTGGATTAGAATAATTTAGGTGGTAGTGAACAACGGACATCTTCCACTAACCAGGGAGGGGTAGTCTACTTATCTTGGAACTTTGAATTCAGACCCAGATAGATCGATAGGGTTTTGAATGCTGTTTACGAAAATGGAAATTAAATCTGCAAAATGGTTCTCCTTAAAAAGTTATGGGG